TTATGAAGTGTCAAATACCCTAAGATATGGTTATTTTCGGAACGGGACCAACGCGTAGATGCCAAAAATCGATATCCGACACTATGTTGGAATCCAATATGGCGGCCATTAGGATTCAGAAAGTGTCAACTATCCTAAAATATGGGTGGAATGGGGATGCTGACAATCGATATTTGACGCCATTTTGCAATCCAAAATGGTGGTCATCAAGTTTCATAAAACGTGTCAAATACCCTAAGATATGGGTATTTTCGGAACGGAGACAACGCGTGGCTGCCGAAATTCGATATCCAATGCTATGTTGGACTCCAATATGGCGGCCATAGGGTTTCAGAAAAAGTGTCAAATACCTTACAATATGGTTATTTTCGGAACAGGGACCACGCGTAGATGCCAAAAATCGATATCAGATACCACTTTGGAACCCAATATGGCAGCCATCAGGGTTCAGAAAGTGTCAAATACCCTACAATATGGGTATTTTCGGAATGGGGACAACGTGTGAATGCCGAAAATCGATATACGATGCCATTTTGGAATCCAATATGGCGGCCATCGGGTTTCACAAAAAGTGTCAAATACCCTAAGATCTGGGTATTTCGGAACGAGGACGACGCGTAGATGCCAAAAATCGATATCCGACACTATGTTGGAATCCAATATGGCGGCCATTAGGATTCAGAAAGTGTCAACTATCCTAAAATATGGGTATTTTCGGAATGGGGATGCTGACAATCGATATTTGACGCCATTTTGCAATCCAAGATGGTGGTCATCAAGTTTCATAAAACGTGTCAAATACCCTAAGATATGGGTATTTTCGGAACGAAGACAACGCGTGGCTGCCGAAATTCGATATTCAATATGGCGGCCATAGGGTTTCAGAAAAAGTGTCAAATACCCTACAATATGGTTATTTTCGGAACAGGGACAACGCGTAGATGCCAAAAATCAATATCAGGGGCGAGGGGGACGACTCTATCTATGATGCAAAAAAGATTGTGTTTTGCTGTGGCTAACTGCGCGCACGCTGAGTAGATAGAAAGAAGATTGATGACGATTCTGAAGATTTCCTGCAAAAAGATGATGAGCGATGCAAGTAGATGCGACAAATGAAAGAAGATTTTTCGAAGATTGATTCGCTAGTGTGAGATTTGTTGAGCATCTAAACTTGAGATTTAGATGTGTCGCCCCCCTTGATCAGGGGCCTTATTACGGGTGTCACTACACGGTGATAAGGAAGTGATACTCATAATAAGAACCGTGATTGCCGTACAAATCAAATGGGAATCACTTCACCGTGACGACAAGTGACAAGTTTTCACCGTGAAGTGACATCCGTAATAAGCCCCCAGATACCACTTTGGAATCCAATATGACAGCCATCAGGGTTCAGAAAGTGTCAAATACCCTACAATATGGGTATTTTCGGAATGGAGACAACGTCTGAATGTCGAAAATCGATATATGGAATATATATGGAATCCAATATGGCGGCCATCGGGTTTCACAAAAAGTGTCAAATACCCTAAGATCTGGGTATTTCGGAACGAGGACGACGCGTAGATGCTGAAAATCGATATTCGATGCCATTTGTAGGCTATTTGACACTTCTTCTGAAATCGGAAGCCACCATCTTGAATTTAAAGATGGCGTCGGACATCGATTTCTTTTTTCTAGATGTTTTTGTTTTTTTTCCTTTGGTTTGTTTTTTCCGTCGATCTTGTTTTCCGTGCTGAGCACCAATGCTACCGACGTGCCAGGAAGGCAGCTCCCACACCTGGACCCTACCTATCGACCCATCAACTCAGGAACCGGGGACCAACGGCTTTACTTCCCATCCGAAGGAAAGCGTGATCAGAGATGTTATGCCACAGAACATCCCGGCGGCGCCGACTGGGATTGAACCCAGGCCTGCTGGGGTGAGAGGTAATCACGCTTACCACTACACCACCGGCGCCGTTTCTTCTAGATGTCAACCCGATTCCAAAAAAAAAAACACATTGATCGGTATTTGACAGTATTTCACAGTTTTTCTGAACCAAAGCCGCCATCTTAGATTTAAAGACGGCGTGACATCAGTTTTCGGCATCTACGTCTCATCCCCATTCTGAAAATAACCATATTTTAGGATATTTGGCACTTTTCCACAAATCGGAAGCCGCCGTCTTGGATTACAAAATGGCGTCGGATATCGACCCTACCCTGCTTCTAAAAAACCGTTTGTATGGGTATTTGATAGATTTTACAACTTTTTCTCAAACCGGAAGTCGCCATCATGGATGGTGTCGGATATCGATTTCCTGCCCCTAGAAGCCATCCCGATTCCAAAAATACCTCTATTTTTGGGTATTTGACAGTATGTCCCACTTAATCTGAAATCGGAAGTCGCCATCATGGATTTCGAAATGGCGTCGCATATCAATTTTCGATCTGTAGACTTCATACCGATTACATAAATACCAATATTGATGTGCATTTCCACTTTTTCGTAAATCGGAAGCCGCCATCTTCGATTTCAAAATGGCGTCGGATATCGATTTTCATCCTCTAGACATCATCCCGATTCCCAAAACACCTTTATTGATAAGTATTTGACAGCATTTTCCACTTTTTCTTAAACTGGAAGCTGCCATCTTGGATTTAAATTTTCGATCTCTAGACGTCACCCCGATTAATAAGTATACCCATATTGATGGGCAAACAAACAACCCGACAATGATAAATTTGACATCCACGTGCACAGATCTATGCGCATACGCTTAAATGAACCGAGTGAACAAGCAACAAAATTCATAAAAACTGCACGAATTTGGATCGAACAGCTTCGTTTCAATGCAATAATATCAATGCTTATTTTACAATGAAAGAAGAAATGAACACGAGTCAAGCCAAAACAAACAGCATGAAAACAGATCGAAAGTGGTTCTGTTGATGTTGACGAGGATATGCTCGAAGAGAAGACATAATGACTTTCAATTGAAAGTGATGGTTGACAGCTTCATCGTCGCTTGACGATTTTCGATTGAAAGTGACTTTGTGGGACCCTGATCACATCTCTCATTTCCTTACCCTTTTCTTACCCGCAGCTGTTTTTTCCCCCAAAAAGTGAGCAAGTGAGAACACCTCTATATCTAATTTCATCTTGGCTACATTTTTTGTGAATTGGCGTTGACGGCGACTCTGTAGCTCTTTACTCCTATGAGAAAATCCATAAGCAAACGTCAGACTGTGCGTGAAACATGGCGGACTTTGTACTATCCTTTCACTCCACCGAAAATTCCCATAAGAAACTGTCTATATTTGCTGAAAGAGCAAATTTTTCGACGGTGCCGTTAACGCCAATTAATCATTTAACGAGCCGAGTGAGTTGTGCGAGCAGAAAGACTAACATATTGTATGGATGCGTTTTTCAACAAATTCAGTTTTTAATCAATTTTCGGCCTTTTTGGTTTTGGCCTTTTCGATTTTCGGTATCTTTTGTGCTTCGCCCTTTTGTGATTCGGCCTTCTGTACGGGTCCCACATAATTGTGTATCCTCTCAACAAAAATATTGTGCTGTTTGCCAGCCTATACCGTTTCAGTTTTGGTTGCCGAAATCCGTAAAAGGAAGCCGAAGTCGACATTTACCCTAATAAATAAATTTGGAAAAGCATAAACAAAAACCCCATTTTCTCGGAGTTCTGGAGCAAAAAGCCACAGCACATTGCTACATGGTAAACTGCTAGAACGTGAAATTTGGCGATACAAATTTAAAGGTATAACTATAATAATAGGAGAAATGGCTCTAATGTTGGCCTATGGATCTAAGATTGGGCCCATCGCTAATGCCCCTAATTTGGGCCATACATAAATTCAGCAATCGACTAAATTTTCAATAGCGACCCAAAATATCCATTAGTACCGTCCCAATGTCCCAAGTTCATCTAGATAAAATTGATAAATAGCAGATTTAATTTTAAATATAGGGGAAATGGTTGTAATGTCAGCCTATGACATTACATCCATTTCCCCTATATTTAAAATTAACTCCTTCTCGTCTAGAAAGGTTTGACATAACAGACTTTGAAAATAAATATTTTTGCTAGGGACATGCAATACAAATAACCGGTGCGTTGAAGTAAAAATGGAATCAAAAGAACTTGAACTAATTAATGCGTTTTGAAGTAGTACTGACGGTAATTAAAATTATCTATCCGTACTTAATGTAATTAAAAGTATTGATTGCATACTTTAATTACAAAATTTCAACTGTAATTAATGGACTTAAAAGTAGTTAATGTTATACACTGTGTAATTAATGTAATTAAAGCAGTAGTTAATGAAATTAATTTAATTACAGCCGTTGCCTGCGTCGGAGTGAAAAGTTATTGCGTGCCCCTAGTATTTTTATAGCATAGATTATGTGACAAAGGTTTCAGTCAAATGAGCTGGGATTTGTGAAAATTATCGCATAAAAAGTCAAAAGGCTGAGGATGCACAAAAGTAACCATAAGTTGGAAAGAGTAAACTGCCGCTCTTCGCATGTCCGTCCCATAGCGAAAATCGGCAAGACGAAAAAATCGCGTTTTAAGTTTGCTTCGTACCATTGCTTCTTACGTGATGGGACAACCAACGTGACTGTCTTTCCAAACTTTTTCAGAACAAAGTTGATGAGTTCATCCAGTATTATGAAAATATGGGTAGTTAGCTACCATTTGCATTGAAAAATTCAGTTTTGACAAAAACGACTATGGGACCGACATACGAAGAGCGGCAGTAAAGGACATGTTAGAAGAATTTGTGTGATTGAACTATCATAGGGCTATTATATGGCTATAATGTTGGCTTATGGATCTAAATATTGGGCCCACCGATAAAAATCTCGCAAAAAATAGGCATGCAATGCTTTCCTTCGAAATGTATGTATGGGCCCAATGTTAGGGACACTTAGGCCGACATTAGGGATATTAATCCTATTATTATAATTGAAAAATCTGAAAAAAAAACTTTAATCTAACCTCAAATAATGCGCTGATTTTCTTGCCGGCAACGATGCGATTAATTGGACTAACACTATCTTTGGTTTCGTCGTTTGTGTCTCTTATCTGCTGTTTCAACGTGCTTGTTATGCTATTGCATTCAGTATTACTGCTACTGCGTTCTATTGTGCAACTTTCGTTTAGTCTGGCATCGCTCTCGGAATGCTGACAACCAGAACTGCTTCTTCGTATTATTCTGGGTGCTGGAACCGGTGGCTTATCGAGCGAAGTTTTCTGGTCTAAATCTACTACACATAGCAAAAAAAAACATGCAAAACAAAAGAACAAAACGTGATAAAAATAAACAAATTTGTGTCGCATGCGAATTTGAGGAAAAAAAAACTAGCACCTACCACCAAGTTTGTTCAGACTGGCCGCCATGTCTCTAACGGACTTTTTCTCCGTTACTGACCCTAAAATATTAAATTAAGTTAACTTGAGCATAGATAAAAATAAGAAAGAAAGATCCTACCTGAAGTGATTCCAATAATGCTTCTGCCACTAATTGCACCAGGTGTTATGCCAACTATGGAACCTCCCGGTGTTTGTCCGGATATCAAAACAAGGTCCACGTCGTCATCAATTTCGTCTGGCGTAGTCTTGGTAGAATCATTAGTTCCAAACTCGTTCTTTGATTCATGCCCAAGAACTGACCATGGTCGAGGCTTGGGTGCAATTATTGGTGTTTTCATTATACCATTTCCTGGTTTCTGGAGCTCAGAATGTTGACTTCTGACAGATTCATTACTGGGAGACTTTTCCTTGTCATTACTAGGTACATTACTGTCCATTGTTCTATTTACGCTGGATCGCTTTTTTTCAGGATCTGGGCTATTCTTTACTAACGGAGATTTTCTGTTGGTCGACGGCGAAAGCTTTCCCAAATTATCTGAGGATCGTGATCTGGAGGTCCAGTTAACATTTTTCATCAAAGGAGAAGCTCGCTCTAATTTAATAGGCCTACGTTCCTCCAGAATAGGGGTCGTTTCACCAGATGTCACATTGCTAAAACGGCCCCCATCATCACGGCTGAGCGTTGGGCTGTCCACAAAGGACAACGAACTACATTCTTCCGATGTTGGCGAGACAAGTGGTGTAAGAGTTGATGGTGTTGCTGAACCAGGCCTAAAAAAAGCCTCTATACCTTCGTTTACGCCCGCCGTAGATCCATCTAATGTGATGACTGGTTTCTTTGGAGCACGGGTTTTCGCCCGTTTCGGTCGACCTGAGGAACAAGTATTGACAAATTAAATTTATATAGACAGGATTATGGGACAACTACAAAGTATTTTGTAATTTGCAAAGTACCAGGCATAGTGTCAATAACAATTGATTGATTGATTTATCTTTATTAGGGAGGCTTTCAGTCTAGGCTGGTTCGCCTCCAATCTTGTGTCAATAACAATGTCATTTGTTGGTAGTCCGCAAATAATATTGTTATCGTAACGGAGCCTGCTGAAATTCGATGATTTGTTGCAAATATTTCTCACTTGTGTCAGCAGGGTGCATGACGTTATACATAAATACGTTAGGCATAATTGACGATAGACATAATTTATATATAAATGAAAAATCACGAAATTTACAGTTACAGTTCTGCTTTTCGAGTTGCCATATTTTTCGCTGATATAACATAGCATGCAAGCTTCAATGCAACTGATTTTAAATTAAAAAATATTAATATATTTACAATGATTTTTCAAATATGTACATGGGAATCGCAATTCGTAACTTCGACTGCCATTTTCTCAATGCCTCCATATGGTAATGATATGGGATTATAGGCAGTATTGCAGGTTATAGGCAGTATGGCAGTTTTAGCTGGGTTTTGAGATGGGCATTTTATATGATGGTTAATTCATCCGATTCACAAAATGTACCATTCTTTTCCACGTGAACTGTTTTTCGAGAATAACCTTTCTCTTATTAAACTAAGGTTATTTCTAATACCGAATTGAAGTCGATATGTATATTTTCATTGATATCACATCCTACGGCGTAGTTATGTTTTTGTTTTGGGTCATTAAACCGAATGACGCCATTAGACTCAATGTGATTAGACTGTACGGGAGCATGAGCATTTATTTGTATAATAATTGTGAGCACTATTATGCAACAACTATACAAAAACTATACGGATGTGCTCATAATTTATTATAAAAATAATGCTCATGTTCATAGTTTGTCATACAAGTGTATCCGCGGCATTACTAGGATAAAAAACTCATTACTCTATGATGCCAACAGTCTTTGCTACAATACATCTTGAAAGGACTACAGTCAAAAAATAAATCACATTTCCAATGGAAAATATCCATTAAATTTTCACATAACTTTCATGTGATCTCATAACTGGAAATCGCACCACCAAATCACATGAACCTTATGTGTCCAATGAAGTTTACACACTTATATTTTTTCGGCGAGGTTCCAACAGCCGAGTAGTTCTGCAATTTATTTTGCTGAGATTCAGTAAAACAATTGCCGAGACTCAGCTAACAAATAACATTTTGCTGGGATATCAGCTAACAAAGAGACATTTTGCAAAGATATCAGCAAAAGTAAATGCCGAGGTAATCGGCTGTTGAAGATTTTACCAAGCTAGATTAAGTGTGTATGTGATTTATCACATAGAATTCATGTGATCATATGAATATTATGTGAATTTCAGATAAAATCAATAATTTTGTTATTGGAAAAATATAATCTGCATTCCCAATGTTTTCAGTGTGCTCATATTTCAAAAAAATCCTAATTAATCCACCTATGAGTAAGCTTGAGAAACTCGGAAGTCTCTGGATCCTTGATGTCTTAACTAAGACCTCAAATCTCAGTCTCACTACCAGCGTGAAATTTGTTCTGTTATATGCCAGCGAAACATGGTGCGTATCAGTAGAGAATACCCAAAAGCTGCACGTCATCGGTTAATGATGCCTGGTGTATATAATTCGTGTTTGGTGGTCACACAGCTGGATCTCGCATGCCGAGCTCTATCGTCGAATGTCACCAGAAGCCGTTATCAACAGAAATTCTAGAACGGAAGTGGAGGTGGGTCGGCCACACACTACAGAGGGACGAAAACGAAATGTGCAAGCAGGTGCTGGATTGAAACCCGGCAGGAAATCGCAGCAGAGGCAGACCTAGGGGCTCATGGCGAAGGAACCCAAATAAAGAAATAAAAAAAGTCGGCTGAAATTTGAGCTGGGCCCAGGTCAAGAAAAAGCAGGCCAACCAAGATGCATGTTGAAAGTGCGCAGGATGCTTGAGATAAACTCGGAGAAGATGGGATTTGGTTGTTTGGCGACTTAATGGTATTTGCAACAGACTTAAATGGATATCGCTAGCTAAAAAGGAAGAGCTTCACTCAACTACATGATACTTACTTTTCACTAGATGTTGCAATGTTAAAGACTGACTAGGTAATTCGGTAATGGAATCACAACATTCATCTTCTTTGTGTTCAATAGTAGGTTCCTGTTTGCTAATACTAGAATGGCGTTCGGGCGATGGAGTGTTAAAAATGTCCGGTATATGTGTCAAGCTTAGATTTTCAATACCAAGTCCAACCACAGACTGAGGACGTACTTTCCTTGCTACCGATCGGCGCTTTGTTTGTAGTTGTGGGGTTGCCTGTAGGAAAATACACTATATTAGCACTTTACTATTTCAATAGCAAGCAAAATATACTTACAAGATTTAAATATTCCAGCTTCTAATTGATGGTTTAGTGAACACGTGAAAATATAGTACAAAAATGTATACATGTATTCAGATGATAATGGACTTTGTTTACAACACAATTATTTACAATGTAAGCTTATGGATGAAATGTGATGATGCCTCGCGTGGAAATTGAATTGAATGATAATAATGGAGAGATGTGATTCTGTTAAACAGATGAGTTATAGACTTACGGTTGGGGAATCCAATCCTAATTTGGGCAAATCCAAGCCGCGCATTTCGAATTGTCCAACTCCATCGGAACCCTGTAACATTTTACATATATACCCACTCTAGATGTATTGTACAATCGGGCATACCTGACTAGAACGACTTCTTGTTGTATCTGGCGTTTGAGGGTCCTCAATGAAGCTGTGTGGTGAATCTGAGATACCCAATCCTCTTTTGTATCGGGTCAATGCTTCAAGTACTTCATCTGTGGCGCGGTCCGAAATTAAGCTAGCCATAGATTGTTCGACTTCGCTGCGTGAACAAATATAACAAGGTTGAATTCACGATCAGATCGAGCATTGAAAACATCTGGCATACCTGATTCGATTCATTATTTCCCCACCAGCGCTATTCACTAAACAATATTGCAAAAACTCCTCCGAAATTATCAACCTCTCTTCACAGCCTTTCCGGAGTTCTGCTATCACCACTTGATTGCCAAGAGTTTTTGGACACTGTTCAATGCCAGTTCGCAACATAGTCTCCATTGTTTCCTAGAGTATTAGATATAAGTAGAGCACAAATCTTGAAATGCCATGTTATTTCAAACCTGAAGATAGTTGTTAATTGTTGAATTCAGCTCGACCTTCATTTTTCCCAAGCGCACCTCAATAGGATGAGGATCACATCGTACCGATTCCTGCAGCTTTGGTAGCAATTGCTTACAATTTTCTGCGTCTTCTAATAACCTTATTAAATTACCCTCGAGAGATCCTTGTCGCATCGACATGGTTTCTTGTGTTTCGGTTACCAGTTTGTCTAGAATCTGATGGGTAGAGGATAATAGAAAGCCATGTTGCAGTCTACAAAAACAAAGGGTCGTAAAGAAGATGCATTTTTCGTTAATTACGCGGAAATTTTACCTAAATCCTTGTCCGTTAGCTCGTCGTAATCCACTACCGTTTCGGGAGAGCATTTCTTGCATTTTGCGCATAAGTGTATCTGTGCGGTCCGGGTGTTGCTTTAAACAGGGCGCAATATCAAATACAGGGAATGGAATGTTTCTCATTGAAAAATTATGCTCCAAAGCGTAAACAATGTCAGCGTATCCTTGTAATGTGATGTTGTTACGATCCATGAAAATTGTTTTTAGCCTATTATTAATCTGTAGCGCTTTTGCCAAAAGACGTGCTCCTATATCGCCCATTAGGTTACCGGTAATATCCAAAACCTGCAGACTTTGATTGCTTCCAAGTGCATTAATGAAATTATGTAAATCATTTTTCAGTTTGTTCTCCGACAGCACCAGCTCCTGTAGCTGAAAATCATCCTTCTGTATTAAATTCACTAGAGCTTCCATAACCGTTGCAATATGCTTAAGTTTCATTCCGGTGAAACATTTGCTCATGTGTAGCACCTTAATAGAGGGATTCTTCCCTATGGCAGTGAGTACGGAGGCCATCTCGGAATCGAGATTATTGTCACTAATATCTAAACTTGATAGAACGCGTACTCCGTGGATACAGGATTCCAGCACATGCGCACCCTGAGAGCTGAGAGAGTTCCCACTGAGATCCAAAAACAGGCCAGCTGTTGATTCATTACATGCAAGTCCCAGCAGTAGATGTTTCAATGCTTCCAACGGAAGTTTGCAGTTTGCAATGTTGAGATGCTTTAAACTTAAGCTACTCGTAAAGAATTGCTTGAACGACGGTGGGATTTCCTTGCCTTTCTTCGTACCAAACGAGTTATGCGCCACATTCAAATGCAATAGATGAGTGGAACATCCGCGTAGTAAAGCACCAAACAGCTGTAAAAAAAATGTAACATGAAAATATGTGCTTTGTTGGGTGCAATTCAAATAAAACTAGCAATGGTACTCTCTAATCAAATTTTTTCGCACATAATCGCTTTGCACTCATCCCACTTTTCACGAAAAAGCATTCGTCTGACTGTTTATCGGAAGCGAAGATCCAAAAAAAAAGCCGTCAGGTCAACGAGAACGATCACAAACTCGTGGTTGGGGCCTTTAAACGGAAACCGAACGCCTCAGTTCGAGATGTGGCTAAAAAGTTGCATGTGAGCAAGACTTTCGTGCAGAATACCAAAACTCGAGCTGGACTACGTACGTTTAAGGTTCAGAAGTCCCCAAACCGTGACGAGAAACAGAATACGGTCGCAAATAGCCGTGCCCGGAAGTTGTACGACCAGTAGTTAACGAAACCACACTGCTGCGTAATGGATGACGAGACATATGTGAAGGCGGACTTTAACCAGTTTCAAGCCTGTATGTGACTGCCAATGATAAGTGTGCGAGAACCTCCGGACACAGAAGATGTCCAAGTTCGCCAAGAAGTTTTTAATTTGGCAAGCGATTTGTACTTGCGATAAGCGGAGTACACCTTTCGTTACCGCAAGCACCATGAATGAACAGGTGTATTTGTAAGAGTGTCTCCAAAAGCGGCTTCTCCCTCTCCTGAAAGCTCACGACGGTTTGACGATTTTCTGGCCGGATTTGGCATCATGCCACTACACGAAGGACGTGCTACAGTGGTATAAGGCGAATGATGTCAATTTCGTGCCGAAAGATCTGAACCCCCCAAACCTTCGGAACTGCGCCCAATAGAAAAATACTGGGACATTATGAAGGAGCACCTTCTAAAATGACCTAAAGAGGTGAAGAATGTAGAAGAAATGAAGAAAGCATTGGTTAATAAAATCTGGAACGCGCAAAAATGCAAAAAAAAACCTGAAATGCTGCATTTGGAAGTTGGGTTGCTATGATGAGTTTTCATGAACGTGTCAAAATTTTGCTCGCGCAGCAAGAGAATCTGACATCCTCACACGCCAAGTTGGAAAAATTGCTGGATGTGGCCAAATCGACCATGACAAACGTTTTAAAAGTGTTCGGAGTGCGTCTGTCGACCACCAGGAAGCCTGGAAGCGGCAGTAATCGTAATGCGGACGTGGCAGCGACGATTCTATAACCTAGAAAACCATTCCAAAACCATTCCCCAGAAAAGCATTTCCCAGAATGTACCATACCCCAGAAAAGACGATGAAATTAGTAATTTATCACCTTTTTTTTTGTCATTTGATATTATATTTCAGTTTAATATTACAGAACAGCCGTCCATAAATAAACAGGTCCGCAGGTATCTTGCACACTGAATAATACATCTTCTGAATACAAATTTTCTCGATAAATTTTACACATTTGATTTAATATATTTTTCATGATAAAACTCTCTGATTAGAGTCACTTTACTATTGATGATACACTACGTTTATTTTTATGGAACTATGTATTTATCAATTCCAAACAATTTTATAGCTCTTTAGAAAATGACAACCTTCAAGTTTTCGAGCACTTCATTCATCATTTAAAAAGTCAAAGGGTCTATTATGCAATCCAATTCAACCAGTCGGAAACTGTTAAACCTTATCGAAGAATTGTTCGACCTGAGTTGAAGAATTTCTCGTGATGGATTAAAAAATCGGGGCATGGAACGTTGAACTACCGATTACAAATTTATAACATTATTCCACACGTTATTATCTCAAATAATCATTACCGCAAATCCCTTGCGAAAAGCTATTGATTATATATTTTCCTTATATATTAAAAGAAGGGAATATTACCAACAATCAATACGAAACTAACGATTTTAAATTGGCTCACTACTTGACTAGTCTATTGGTCCTAAGCAAATCGACTAACGTACCCCATTCCAGTATAAATTCCAGTACTACACTATTTTTGTTTTGATCCGTTATGAAAGTTTGACAGATAAAATGAGGGGTTAGTGGATTTTCCTATGTTTCGAGGGGTGAATCGATTAGCTTGGGACCGAAGATAGTACCAGAGCTGAGCCAAAAAGTTGAGCTCGTTTCTTCGGGACCTTCTGGTCTTACATCCAAAGAATTAATTAATTTCTCTTTTTTTATATTCAAAGAAAGGGAATTCCCTTCTTTATCGTTTGTCCAAAGAATTAATTATTTCCTTTTGTTAAATTTTCAAAGAAGGGAATTTCACTTCTTTATCATATATTTAACGAATTAATTATGTTCTCTTTTATATATTAAAAGAAGGGAATATTCCTTTTTTATCGTATATCCAAAGAATTAATTATTTTCTTTTCTTATATTTCCAAAGAAGGGAAAACCTCTTGACCAATTTAGAAGTTTTTCTAATACATGGCATACTTTTCTTACGCGAAAGAAGATTCCAGGAGTGACTATAATAAACAAAAATAGTCAATCTAATACATGCCATACTTTTCAGGGGAATGGTACATTCTGGGGAATGGTTCATTCTGGGGAATGCTTTTCCGGGGAATGGTGCATTCTGGGGAATGAGATTCTGGGGAATGGTTTTCTGGGGAATGTTATAGCATCGGCAGCGACGACGAAGAAGGTGGCGGTGAAATATAAGCGGAATCCTAACCTCTCCATCCGGGACGTCGCTGGCAAGCTCAATGTCTCCCAAACTACTGTGCAGCGGGCCAAGAAACGAGCCGATGTTTAAGAAGGTGAAGGTGGCGAACTGAGTTTACAATCAAAACACGTCGGCAATGCAGCGGTCCCGAAAGCTGTATACGAATCTGCTCACAAAGTTCGACTGTGTCGTCATGGACGACGTAACCTATGTGAAGGCGGATTTCAAGCAGCTTCCGGGACAGGAGCTTTATACCGCATCAGGAAAGTGGAAGGTGGCTGAAATTTTCAAAACCATCAAACAATCAAAGTTCCCGAAAAAATATCTCGTCTGGCAAGCCATATGCACGTGTGGTCTAAAAAGCGGCATTTTCATTACTACGGGAACCATCAATCAAGAGATCTACCTCCAGGAGTGCCTGGAAAAGCAGCTGCTACAATTCCTAAAGCAACATAATAGATATGTGCTATTCTGGCCGGACTTAGCGAGAAGATTCTCTTCGTCGACTTTATTACCTTTGCGACCTAATATTCCAACTTGCTTGCCGAATAAAAACTTATTCGTATTAAAACTTCAATGATTAATTGTTATATGCCTAATTGTTATTTGTATATGTCTAAAATTGAATATGAACTGGGTATCGTCGTATTGAATATGAACTGGGTATCGTCGTTGAATATGAACTAGGTAAACGTCTAGCTAGTAACATAAAGTTGCATGCACACTCTACAAGTTAAAATGTTGTATTTATGTATAATAAAAGCAAGACCAAGTTTGTTAAAATACACATTTAGAACACCTTAAAATTTATGCAGGGGATGGTTATTGGATTGTCGCGGGTGGATATAGGACTAATGGAAAGAGAGGAACAAAAAAAGAGAAAAAAAAAGAAGAAGGCAAGCTACTGGGTCTTCAGCGAAAATCGAGGCTTTTTCCCTAGTAGACACTGAAGTGAACAGACCATAGTGCGAAAATAATAAAAGTAGACGAAGCTACAACCCCGTGAGCGATTGTGGCCGTTTTCCCTAGACACCCACGGAGCGAAAGGGGTTAGTCTGTACCGCGCGTAGCCTGAAGTTTATCGGCTTTGTGTTATTTCGCCAATCATGACGCGACAACCCACGCTAGCTCCCAGTGCTACCGCCCTGGTGGACCAAATCTCGGCAATCCTAGCCGGTCCTCAAGTTTTGAGGTTAAACCGACGACACTCATCACGACATCGCGTGCTGTTTCCCAGAGTGAGCCACGCCCGACGGCAACTCTGGCCGTAGCCCGAACCACGGCCAACCACGCTGGTTCCCTGGGTGAACCCAACAAGACGACGACGCCCAGTAACAATACCGTTCCCCCGACCATTCGCCCGCGACCACGTGTCCCCTCAGCGGCCGGCCGGCCAACAAATTCACACCAAACTCACTGGTTTATCGGAAGCTATTAGGGTCTGGTTGGGCAAGAATGCCACCAAGAATGGTACCTTCCATATATGTCAAATAGTGGATGTTTATAGGAGTTTCTGCACTGTATTGCAAGTTCATATTATTTCCTTCATACATAAGCAATGTAATTCAAATTAATTCTCGTCAAAAGTTGTTAACGATATTTTCAAAATGTAATCAATTTTTTTTTTGTAACTGCAATGGAGTAAGAGCAAAGATGAATACTAAGATGAAACTGTCGGAAGAAAAACCATCAATTTTAGTGTCCTCTTTCACGGTCCCTTTCATCCAATGAATACCCCCCGTATTCAAAGTAATTTTGTGGTTTTGCTGCCCCCTCAGTAGAGATGAAATTTTGCGCTCATTTTTATCAAAACAAACACACCAAAATCAGAGATGTCCCATTTTTAAATTACTCGATTAACAACTAATCGATTATTTTTTGTTCGATGTGCTGCCATTTTTCCACCACGATCGGCACGATATAACCAACAATCAATACGAAACTAACGATTTTAAATTGGCTCACCACTTTAGTAGCCTATTGGTCCCAAGCAAACGATTAACGTACCCTATTCTAGTTGAAATTCTATTACTACACTATGTTTGTTTTGATTCGCTATGAAAGTTTGACAGATAACATCAGGGGTGTGTGGATTCATGCAGAACATGCAGGGGTGAGTGAAATAGCTTGGGACTGCTTGGGACCGTTGTTCTGGTACTGAGTGAGCCAAAAATAATAATGATTTTCTTCGGGACCCAGTGGTCTTAGAGTTACCTCTATGATATAACCATAGAGGTAACTCTAAGACTAGAAGGTCCCGAAGAAACGTGCTCAACTTTTTGGCTCAGATCTGGTACTATCTTCGGTCCCAAGCTAATCGATGCACCCCTCGAAACATAGGAAAATCCACGAATCCCTCATTTTAGCTGTCA